ACCTCCAGGGTAGGGGCATACAAGCTTCTCTGGGCAACCTGTTCCAGTGTCTCACCACCCTCATACTGAAGAATTTCTTTGTAATATCTAGTGTAAATCTACCTTCTTTCAGTTTAAAGCCATTCCCCCTTGTCCTGTCACCACATGCCTTGTAAAATGCCCCTCTCCAGATTTCTTGTAGGCCCCCTTTTGGTCCTACAAGGCTGTTACAAGGTCTCACCTGAGCTTTTTCTTCTTCTGAACTAGCCCAACTCTCTCAGCCTGTCTTCGTAAGAGAGGTGCACCAGCCCTCTGAGCATCTTCATGGCCCTCCTCTGGACTCACTCCAACAGGTCCATGTCCTGAATAACCACATATAATAATAATAACATACCTACTCACCTACGATTCATAAAATGGCAAGTTAGAAGAAGAAGACTACATAACAGTAGAGTTACAGAATGTAGAATTATATATTTTCCATTTATCTGGACAATAAAACTTCCCTTAGACAAAACACAAACACCAATAACTTGCTATTGATTCACTGATTTTACTGAAGCTTTTGAAAATTGTCACTTCTACGTAGACACAGAATAAAATACCAGTAATATAAACACTCAGGAATAGAAATGTTTTGAATGTACGCTTCAAACTGTTTGTTGGGTTTTTTTTTGCAGAACTTGTAATCGATGCTGTATTGTATTATTATTCAAATAAATGGTGATGTTATTCTCAATGATTGCATAAGAGTGACGTTATAATGTGTCTGCTCAAGGAGTCAGCCTGTGTTGTGGTTACGTTCTTAGCAACAGAAGTAGTAACAGCAAGGAGGACAGGCACATAGAGGATCTGCGATTTAGTTGATGCATTCGCTGCAGTGATGTACAGCAGCAGATTAGGGGCCAGCAAATAAACTGTAAAATGATTCAATATAAAAGGAACAAGAGCTGTGTGAAAATATACCGTAGTGGTCGATCGAAAACTGGTTCTTCTAGGGTGAAAAAGAAAACTTCAGCTAATACTTCAGTGTAAGTGCCGAAGTCCTGTTAGTACTTCTGGTTAATGTGTACGATTTCTGATACTTCTACTGAAGGTTCTTTTTGTTACATTTAGTAGAATTTATTTGTATATGTGCATTTTCTAAATAGCAAGTAAAAGTACTGATAAGAACAATTTGATAGTTTTATGACTCAACATATGAATTTGCTTTATTTGGGTTGTTTTAAAGAACTGTTTTCACAATCAGCAAGTAAAAGGTGAGAAATCAGATGGTATTGCGCAGAATCCACAGTATTGTGTATGTATACACATATATGCACACCCATGGAAATATAAGGGAAATTCTATACTTGGTAATCAAGGAATAAATAGATGAAGAAAAGTGGACAAAAGTTAAAACCTATGAAATTAGTTGAACATTGGATTCTAAGAATTTGTGATACTTAAACGTATTTTGTGTGGTAAAATATATAGCCCAATTTATTTCCCTTCCTAAATAAAATTACCATCAAATTATATATCCATCTAGCCATCCATTTATTCAGATGTTTAGACCCATATCAAAGCCCTGTCCCTGTCCATCTCTGCATAATTACAGAAGAATGTCAGTCAATAATGAATTTACTTGAAGGCCTTTTCTAGTAATGCATATGCCATGAGTAATTTTACCCAATATAAATCTTACTCTTCAAAAGGTCAGGGAAGTGTAGAAAATAGTTACGAGATGAATGACTAGCCCTTGTTTCCTTTCTTGAAATGTTGTTTCAGTTAGGCTTCTGAAAGAAACTAATTCTGTTTAGAAATTAGTAAGGTTACACATGGAGGGGTCTGTTAGAGCTTGTACTTACAAAGGATTGAATTTACAGTGTAATTCTATGCTGCAGTTGCTTCCCTAATTTCTTAAGTAGGAACCAGAGACACTGGAACACTCCCTCCCATAGCACTTTGTTCAGTCACTTCTCATCAGAGAGCAGTGGTCTCTGATAAAATTACTAGTTAAATGAACATTTTTTTCTAATACTGTTTTCTCTGTTCTGTCTTTATAAAGTAACTCCTGTAACTAAAACTTACAGACTGAATAGTCCTCCTGTTTTACATAGGAATGGTTAAAAAGATTAGAGAAACTGCTGGGTTTTTTTTTCTAGTCTTAATTTGTACTCCAGCAGCTCACATCTGCAGAGCTGAGGACTTGGTCCCAAATTCAGATCTGCTTCAAGCTATAGCAAGCTGATGTAGAGTTCTGCTTCATGCTGCACAGATGATGTGGAATATCATAGAATCATAGAATAGTTAGGGTTGGAAAGGACCTTAAGATCATTCTGCTTCATGCTGCACAGGTGATGTGGAATATCATAGAATCGTAGAATAGTTAGGGTTGGAAAGGACCTTAAGATCATCTAGTTCCAATCTGCCTGCCATGAGCAGGGACACCACACACTAAACTATGTCGCCCAAGGCTCTGTCCAACCTGGCCTTGAATACCGCCAGAGATGGAGCATTCACAACTTCCTTGGGCAACCTATTCCAGTGCCTCACCACCCTCACTGTGAAGAACTTCTTCCTTATATCTAATCTAAAGTTCCTCTGTTTAAGTTTAAAGCCATTACCCCTTGTCCTACCACTAGAGTCCCTAATGAAGAGTCCCTCTCCGTCATCCTAGTACAGCCTTCTCTTCTCCAGGCTGAGCAGCCCCAACTTTCTCAGCCTATCTTCATACAGGAGGTGCTCCACTCCTCTTATATCCCTGCCACATGCTCTGAGGCAGCCTTAATTAATGTCCATGGTCCTTAGATTGTAGGAATAATTTCATCTCATTTGAGTAACAGTTGGAATAGTTACAAAAATATGTTTTAGGGATTATAAGGTTTATTCCTGGTTATACGAATACATCAAATGTCAAATATTCCTGAGAAATATAAATGTGCTGATCTCTCCAAGGAGATTTAATAATAATGCATAGACTAGTAGGGATTTAAGTGAACTGTAACAGTTTTTAATTTAGGGAATAAGATCAATTTATAACTTTTGACCTATTGCCAGTCTCAGCCTTAGTTCAGTTTTGCAAGATAATTTGCCCAAATCATTTCCTTTACACGAGTCCTGCTTCTCCAAATTAAATTGCTGAGTTTTGGCCTGGGTCCCACTGTCAGAAAATCTCTTAATTCTTGCCCATTCTGCTCCTATTGCACTCTGTGTTAAAAAGCCTTCCTTGTCTGATAATTTTATGTTCCTAAAAAAATAGGAACATCTCTGCAGTTCTCTCAGCAAACAGTGGTGGTATTGGTGGCCTTTTATGTTGTTTTTTTTTTAAACCCCCATTGAAAAGTGTCACAATATATGCTGTCAGCCAGATGAACTGCGGAAACTGAAACACTTCTGGCATCATGCTTCCTATTAGGTGCCTTCCTATAATCGCTCAGATAGTACTAGATCTATGTGAGGATTCCTTTGAACTACACTGTATTCAGGCTTTTCTTCATTATCCGTGTTGCTGCTCAATTCCTGTATATGCCAGGGAAGACCTGGAGCAGACAAGGTTCTGAAAATGCTGAAGAAGAGAAACAGAGAAAGTGAAAGGTGTGAGCTATTGAATAAATATGAGGAGAGATTTGGAAAGAGTCAAAAGAGTTATTCTAAGAGTGGAAAGAAAAGACAGTGCCAGAGGTGACAACATGAAAATGGAAGGAAGTGATAGTTTTCCTCTCCCAAATACCCATCTGCATATGCCGTTAGCCAAATTCCCACCAAATCTATTTCCCAGGAATCCTGTTCACTCAGGAGGAGACCCAAGTTTTAACTTGGCAATTGGAGTGCCTGATAAGAAAATTACACTCAAAAATAATTTGCCCGTACTCGCTTTGAGTCCAGTTCATGCAGATTCAAGGAATTTCAGAAAGCCAGCAGAAGAGAAATAGATCCATGTAATCAAATAATGCCTGCATTTCAGTTGGTACTCTATTAATAAAATATTTTAAAAGGGTGGCATGCGTTACATATATTTGGGTCATCCTAACTCTGGGATTCTTGCATAATTACATGAAGGAAAACTTGTTTCTTACTAAATAAGGGATTTGGTTCTTGGAAAACCCCAGCAGACTGAGTGATACGGACAAATAACAGCAAGAAAAAAGTTGTGTTCCTGCATCTGGTAGATTTATGGATGTGTGGAATTGAAGCCTTGAGTCTGTTTTAGGAGCATATTTAGTTACAGGCTTCTTCTAGATAAACTGATGTCCTCCAATTCAGTACTTTTTAGTACTTTCTCTATTTCACAAGAGTTATACTTAACTTTTCTAACTTTTTGAACAACTAAAACCAGTGAAAGCTGAATCACAATCCAATCTTGTATAATATCTATACTACTATGATTTTTGTAGCCTGACTTCAATAGATACACAGATCTCTGTGCAGAGGAATTAATTCTCTTTAATACTTCTATTACACTGAAGTTACATGGTGAGTATGTATGCAGGGTATTCATTGAAATGCATTTACCACAGCATTGCTGTATAATATCATTAACTCTGTGTCTAAGTATCAAAACATTTTCTGTACCATTTTGGAGGATGGATCAGGTGGACCACTGGTGTTCTCAGTTATAGCAGCAAACCATTTTTATATAGATGTTTGTGTCAGCCACTGTTTTAAGACATCTCCTCTGGATTTTATAACTCATTTGTTACGCTTCCATCCACCATAGCTGTGACATCGTTGTACAAAAATCTTCTCTTGCCTTCACTTGAATATCTTGCATTTGCATCTTTTGTGTTCTGGAACACGAGCAGCATAAGAGAGGGAAGATACCTGCTGTGCTCAGCTTCCCAGTGGCCTCAGTATGTCTACAAGAGAAGACATTTAGTGACGTGCCGAGTCAATTCTACAGACAACTCCTGCTCCTGTTAAGTTTTGTTAGAGCTCTATGTCTAACATAGAGCCATGTTAGAGGCATGAGCACTGTCCATACTTCTTTTGCTTCAGTCTGCCATCTTCTCAGTTACCTTGTAATAATTTTGTTGCAGGAAGCTTTTGGACACTGAGGATGAGCTCTCTGACATCCATTCGGATTCGGTCCCGCTGGAAGTGCGGGACTGGTTAGCTTCTACATTCACAAGGGAAATGGGAATAGTGAGGAGGAGACATGAAGAAAAACCCAAATTCCGAAGCATTGTGCACGCTGTACAGGCTGGGATTTTTGTAGAAAGGTGAGAGCTTTATTTTCCAGTTACAGCAAGTACTGCATTTAACCAGAGTGTCTGTCACTGAAGATCCCTTAAGTGGTGGGGTCAACCTGAAGCAAATCTTTAAGCCAGAATTTACATTTCAATTTATGCAATCACACTATTTTTCTATACAGAAATCCAAATGAAACCTCTAAATTTGTAATGAAATCTCTTGGACTTTGGAAAATTCTGGGAATGAATTTTATGGCTTTGAAACTTCTACACTAAAATGCACCAAAGACTGCACTAACATGAAAGAGTAATATACCGTAGAGGGGCTTTTCTCCTAAATTGATAAAAAGATTTATGTCATCTTTGGGATCAGACCCTTAAATAGCTTATTGTTATTTCACAAACTCTGAAAGATGAATTAAGAAAAGATAAATTGTTCCAGTAATTTTTAAAGAAGAGCTATTCATTAATACTTTATTTGTTCTTTTAGGATGTACCGAAGAACTTCTAGCATGGTTGGTTTGGCTTACCCAGCAGATGTGATAGTAACATTTAAGGTAAAATAATTTTAATCATTGTGGAATTTGAATGTATTTGTACATGTTTAGTGATTTTTAGGGTTAAATGGGTGTATTCTTCTACTGAACATATCCTAGACATACTTAGTGCTACAGAACTGAGCACACAAAACAGGGAAATTAATAGTTAAAATTTAAAAAATAGCATATAATTCTGTTTCTTGTTTCACTGATTGTGATTTCATTACAGGTATTATTAGAACAATAGGATGAAATTTGTATAAAAAATTATATAGAAATTCTATATAATTTAATTATATAGAAATGTTTTATCTGCTCCCAGTGATATTGTTATCAGCATCTCAGACAGCAGCATGTGTTTCCTTTTTCAGAAAGAAAAAGGAGTAGTAGTATTGGGATAGAGAAGCTGCAGCTTATGGAACTAGTACAGTATTTGTTGTGAATTAAAGGCATTACTTTAGTTCACCCAAAAGGCAATCTTTTATAGCAATTAAGTTCCTATGGCTATGTGTGCAATTAGAAAATTCTATTTCATGAGAATGTAGTATTTCTCTTTTTCTCCTGAAAGTCAAACACTATTATATTATTCTCAAATTGCTATATGGCTATAGTATTAATGACATTGCATAATAGCCTGTTAAAAGATTAGGTGTTCACATTAGCTTTATGAGGTTCTACAGACAATTTGTGTGGAGAAAGTTAAATTTGTAAGATTAAGGCCTACAGAGTTGCATAGGTCATGTTACAAGTATTTTATTCATAACTGGCACAATAATTATCATTGTTAATACTGAAATAGTCATTAATGTATTACTTACAGTAGGAGTTTCAAAGAGTTGGACAATAGAAAAACACCCAAACTCTCCCTCTTCCCTCCAAAAAAACCCAAAATGTCTTTCCCAGTGATTAACTGGAAACTTACTTAAACAGATGGAAATTTTATGTTTGGTTTTGTTTTTTTTTTCCCCTCACCTACAGGATGTTGATAAATGGTCCTTTGACGTATTTGCCCTAAATGAAGCAAGTGGAGAGCACAGTCTGAAATTTATGATGTATGAGCTGTTTACCCGATATGACCTTTTGAACCGTTTCAAGGTCAGAAACTAGCCACAAATAAAATGATGTATGCAAGAATAAGTATGTCAAATTTAAAATACAAGAAAGAGGATATATTTGATTTTTTTTTATTATACAATATACAAAATATTGTATTTTTTTATTATACAGTACAATTTTTTTTAATTATACAATCAAATTAAAATAATTTGGCAAATCATGTATTATAATATGCCAATAGTTCTACCAAATGGAACTTAACCCAGAGCATGCAAATTTTTCTGCAGGCCAAAAAATGTAAATCTATGTAGTCCCATGTCAAGTCAGTTTGGTATGGGATGTTGCTAGTGAGCAGTTAAATGCTGTAAGTATTAAATAAGCACATTATGTATGCAGCCTATTTACTTAGCAGCACAAGATCAGTGTCCCAGCTTCATGGAACAAAGATTCCTAATAAGGCAGAAAACTACAGTTAGTCCTAAGTACTTTTTTCATGGCCTAGATCATAGTATGTTACTCACTACTGTGCAGGGGTTTCAGCTGAACCTTCCTCTTCTAAGCAAGCAGCTTGGGAGATATATAAGGAGAATATATAAAGAGAACTTTTCAATGGTGTCTGCAGGGTGTTGCAATACAATATGAAGTACTTACAAACAACTTCAAAAGGCTGAGATAAAAAATGGATCAAAATGCTAAATTTAACATAATAGTACCAAATGAATGTTTCATTATAGTTTCAAAATCTCTCCACTGCAAAACTCCATGCTTCTTTCAAAGAGGCTGCCTCACCCTGAAGTTGGTTTGAACATTTTAGTTTAAACAAACAACCCAGACTCAGCTTTTTCCATAACGATTTTCCCTTCAAGTTCTGGGTGCTTGAAGTCAGAACCATACCAGGCCTACCATTAACAGCACAGTCAGAAAGTACATGATATTACTGTCTCAGTGGGCTTAAGCCCATTCTCAGTCCCACTGTTTACCTTATAGGAGTTTTAAATGAAGAAAAAAATCTCAAGGAAAATGTAATTTCATTACATGCGTGTCATGGTTTAACCCCAGCCAGCAACTAAGCCCCACAGAGCTGCTTGCTCACTCCCCAGCAGGATGGGGAAGAGAACTGGAAGGGTAAAAGTGAGAAAATTCATGGGTTGAGATGAGAGCAGTATAATAATTATAATAATAATAATAGTAATAGTAATGAAAAGGAAAAGGTGCATGATGTATGTAGAGGTATATTAGATCTATAAGAATTGGGTGAAGACTCCCTGATGCACATGAGATATTAGGCCTTTATATTTAAACTTTTTCTTTTGTTGTTTCTTAACTGAGTTCTACAGTATATTTACATGTAGCTTATTTGTTGCGTGATTAACTTTGCAGCTGTTGCAAGAAAAACCAATAATTTTAATTTTTCTTTCTTCTCAGATCCCTGTTCCCAATCTTATTTCATTTGCGGAAGCTCTTGAAGTTGGTTATAGCAAATACAAAAATCCATATCACAACTTGATCCATGCAGCTGACGTTACTCAAACTGTGCATTACATAATGATTCACACTGGTATCATGGTAAGAAATACTGCAAGGTTCAATTTACTTCTTTTCTCAAACCCTGCTGTTTTGAATGAATGTGTATGTGTGTCTTTTCTTAAGGAAAAAGCTCCCTTGAAAACTGTGCAGAGATAGATTCCAAACTACCATCCAGGCTGCGAAATTTATGTTATTTTAATGGTTTTTCCAGGCTGGAACTCTCCTGGTACAGAGGAAAATAGAAAAAAAGTCCTCCTTAAATCCTTCTTGCTTTTAATTGCCTGAGCTGGAGTACTGCATATCATACTAAAAGAGATACATTTGCAGGAGTGGCAGATGAGAATTTTTCGCTTCCACATCAGAGCCTGGGAGGTGTGAAGAGGCGAGCAAGCTTTAGTATCTGCTGAGGTCTTGGCCATTGAAAGATATACTGAATCAGCGTAGGCTTACTCAAGTACTCTGCAGCTACTTCTTCTTTTAGTTTATAACCTTATTTAGGACTGTTCTTGCATACCGTGTGTACCTGTAGTAGGTAGAAGACTGCGTTTGCCTTGCACTATTGAAATATCCCAATATTTTTTAGTGTTTGCTTTAGGAACTAAAGTGAGTCTGTGCAAGAATTTTTCCTCATCTTAGATTTAATACCAGCAATGGGAGTCTCCTCACTATCAGCTTGCTAGACATCTCAGTCAGTGGCCTTTAGATGTTTTGTCTTCAGTCTGAATGCACTTGTTTCAAAAAAAGGTGGGAAGTGATAGAGTCTGATCTCTGTTTGCAGAGCTGTGAAAAAATTCCTTAAGACTTGGATAGAAAAATTTTAAGGACTGATTCTACATGTTTGTGCTCTAATGTATTCACAATGAATGACAGTCATTCACTTATGTTAAGCCTTTCCTCACTGAAAGCTTTACCTTTGGCTTCAGTGGAGGCAAGAATGAGTGCCTAGTCATTGCAGTCTGTGATTCTACTGTTTTGAAGGAAGTGTTTTGCTTCTAAGCATCAAGTTTTTAGAGCTACATTTTAACACAAGGGCTACTTGCAGGGTGAACCCTGGAGTCTTTGGCCAGCTAAGATTTCCACATTGATGAGGGGATGAAGGCACGGATCCAGAGCATCTTCATGCAGTGAATCGCTTTATTGCCTACTGCTCTAACTTTTTATACCATTCTAACAACAGTTATTTTTAGCCTATTGCTCTAGCTGTTATACCATTCTATTTGTAGCCTATCATGTTTAGTTCCTGACTTATAGTTTGTTTGTTAACACTGCTTGCTTTCTCACAGCCAGTCCCAGAGTAGCCAGTCTCTTATCTTTATGCTCTTTCCTCCTTAGCCAGGTGTCTTGGTATCTTATACTCTCTCCTCTTCAGCCAGCTGGGTTGCTCTGCTTGATTGTACTTTGTTTCTTCTTTAACTCTTTCTTCTCCAGCCAAGCAGTTACTTCTCTTTGGCAATAATCAAATAGTTTCCATTGTCACCCACACATTGAGAAGATTTCTTGAGAAAGGACTTCAGTATCAGACCGAAGCATAGCTAGACAGCTCTTGTCAAGATGACTCCAAATCAAAGTTACTGTGTACCGTATTCACCTATTGAAATAATGTTTTAATAAAAGAAGGAATTTGAACAGATTAGATCACGGTTCCTATCCTATCCTTGTCTTCTACTGCAAGATCAACTGCAAGTGATAAGTGGTATATGTCTTTCTTTCAGGTATACACCTGGATCAGCAACTTAACAGAGAAGAAAATCCCGTTTTTGTATTATATGTTATAAACATCCTTTAGGCCTGTTGTAACTGTGCCCCTCTGCCCTTCAAAAAAGACAGTAGCGCCAGATTTTCTTTGTGATTCCAGGACAAGGTTCCAACTTCCAGAGATATTCTAGCCAATTTGGGATGTTTAGCCATTGATTAAACAGCTTTGGAAAACACTTCATGTATCACTGAACACTGAATGAAGGAACCTGCTTCGTATTTGAAGATCTGCTATTCCACTGGGTTCATGCAAGCCTGAGAAAGGTCTCCCAACTCAAATATAACACTATTAGCATCTTAACCCTGTAACAGCACTTTGAAGTGATTTGGATAACTATTTTTGAAAAAGCTTAGACTTTATTGCTGTTACTTTGCTGTAAAGCCTCATTAATGTTGCAGTGCTGCTACAAAATATTCCTGTAACATTAGGCCAGGTTTTAAATATTCACATTTGAATTGTTGAGTTATGGTATTGGAAAGTTCTTGGAAAGATATCTAACTAGGACAACACTTAGTCAAGAGTGCATTTAAACAGATGCAGCTTGCCAGGGAGAAGGAACATTTATAGAAATCAGTGTTTGAAAGAGGGCCTAGTGATTCTGCAGCTTGCAAAGTAGCATTCTGTCCCAAATGTCATTCGCCATTTGAGAATGCATCAGTATCATGAATATGTTCTATTTAACTCGCTGGGTTTTTTTTTCCTGTTGCCTGGTTAACCCTACAGAACCCTCTCAATAACAATTCGAAGTTTGCTCCTCAGGCTCATAATTTTCAGACTATGTCCATTGTAATGTCTCTTTTAACTCTGCTTAACTTCTAACAAATACCTGGATTGGAGTCAATTTGATGCAATTCTATATCAAATTCTTGTGGTATTTTGCAGAATGGCATGCAATTCTTGTGCTTACATTGTATCTTAAGGAACTGATATTAACTCCCAAATCTTGCAAAGAATTTCTGTCTTACTTGTTCACTTCTAAAAAATATACTGAACCAAATGTTCCAAAAAGCTGGGTTTTAGAAAATCCTTTTCATTATTCCTGTTGTTCAGATCATATGTTTTGTATCTTTTATAGGCAGCCGTATTTCAGCATTTGGTCAAAGTTTATGCTTTTGCACAAGCCTTTATAGAGATTCCAGTGAAGAATAACACAAATTCAGAGTCAAAGCTAAAGAAATAAAATAATCATTGTATTTACAGAAAGTTTCTGTCTGTCTTAAGAAAGAAGATTCAACCACCTCAGATCAATGTGTTAGAAAGTTACACAGATGGCACACAATCTATTAACCTTCCCAAGAGATTAAATCCCAGATGATAAGACAGAAATATATAACTCAAGCTTGCATTTATGAAGTCTTCATCTTTATAAAGATTTAAAAATCCAAGTCCCAGGGAATACATCTTGTAAAGAACTTTTGAGTCATCGATCATCTTCCCACCATCCCTTTTCTCCTCCCACATACCTGTATTGCTCAAACTAAAGGAAAAATGTCTTTACTGTCAATAAGTGCATTGTGAGACTCCTTTTCTTAATCACTTTTTAATCCATCATTGTCTAAAAAAATAGTTTGAACCAGAGCTCATGAAAAGTTAAATTTTATCTATTTACTTATAAGCAATTTATAATACTGGAAAATATCAATGGAAGAGATCTTTTCTAATAGGTGTCACACCTGCATTGCATAGTATCTTCCAGGAGGGAAGCAGGTTCCAGCTTTTTACAGTCTTACAGACCTTCAGATAGCTGCTTTTCCCTCTGCCTTTGAGAAAAACACTTGTTAACTGTCTCTGACTTCCTTAGAAATTATAGTTCTCTAGTTCTCTGATTTGAATACTGATCTGAATTTCAACCGTACAGCTACAGTCTCTAGAATACTTGCTCTTACGTAGTACCATATGAAGTTTCTGTGTAGCCCATAGATATTGTTTGTAAGGAATGCTTTTCTACTTACAAATGCATCGTCTAGCAACTAGTTTGGTTACTTTAAAAGCCGATAGTTGAAAGACGTCTTAAAGAAAAAGTTTATGTTTAGCTTTAGTTACTAATAACTTCTGGGTTTCTATTCTATTTGGTATGTTGAAAACATTGTGAAAGCAAGGACCGGTCATGGCCTGGTTTCTTGTGACACACAATGCGATGAAGGTCATTGTCTCCATTTTTAGAACTGCTTACAGTACATTCTCATTCCTCTGTTGTGACCTTTTTAAATCTATACTGCTTCACCAACAGCCAGTACTTGTTGTTCCTCAGCAGTTTTCTTTTTTTTTTTGCTGAATGACCTATTTCATTATTCTCACAATACTTATGAATCTTGACTGTTTCCTTTCTTCTTTGAAAGAAATACTACTATTGGCAGCTTTTACTACTTCTGGCAGCTTATACATATTATATCCATTCATACACATGTATGTGCATATATGAGTGAATAAGGATGAGATCATTCTTCAATCCTTTAGTACAGAAGCTTATTCTACTAAAAAAAATCTGAAATATGTGTGGAAGTGCTTGACTGGCATTTGACTTAATCAGTCCTATGACTGCGGGGGTTAATTATAATATTATTTTTCTACCCCCATTTTTAGATGGAGTAAATTTTCTCTTCAAAGATGATTTATCATTCAAGAAATAGAACTCAAAAAATAAAATAACAGAGGTTATTTTAAAAACTGAACACTACAGAAGAGCCTTAGTTAGCAAGAGGTATAAAAGTACACAAAACTCTAGAGTATGCATTATCTTGAATACATGACCTGTATTAACTTTTGTTCTGTGTAACTGTACACTAGCCTTGTACACCCCTTTTTGCATTAGTACAAACTATGATAAAATTTAGAACAGAAAAATCTCCCATGGGCATAATTTTAGTGCTGTGTACACTGGTAAAATATAGTTAATGCTGACGTTGTACCTAGAATTTATTATGAGCCGTATATATTGTTGGCTAAAAGACAAATTATAACCTTAACTTCATATCAAGTTTTTAGATGAAAATGCCATAATTTGGTGAGTGCATGTGGGGGCTAGCAGATTAGATACTTTCTACTCAAAACAGCTACAAGATATACCATACAATTATCTTATTGACTTTTATTTTTCACTGCTGATGCTTGCTTTCCTAGTGACCACAAGGATGTTAATTTGGTCTTAGAAAAATCATAACAGATACAAGGAAGTATTTTACTGTATAATACTGAGATGTTGTGGATGTTTAGTTACCTGGAATAAGACGAGAATAAAGTTTACTTAAATTGAAGGTGATACAAAACGTTTCCAATACTGTAGTGTTTAATCTGAGTTAGGCTATTATAGAAAATATGACTAGGATTTGTTTTTTGTTTACCAGCACTGGCTCACAGAACTGGAAATTTTAGCAATGATCTTTGCAGCTGCCGTCCATGATTATGAACATACTGGGACCACAAACAATTTTCATATTCAGACAAGGTAAGTAAAGCGGTCTATTAAGTGTTGTATGTTCATTGGTCTGAACTGTTTCATACCTCTCAACTGAAATAGCCAGGAAGTAGCCAGGTCATTCCTGATTTTACAGGTTGCTTCCTTGGCCTCTGTACAGTTAATGGACTGCTCACATGAACAAACATAGCGTGGAAAAGCAAGGAGTTAGTGTTTGAAATCATTATATTTTGGAGCTGATATGTCAGGATTCAGTCCATAACATACCTGTGCTCTGAGATGTGCTCTTTAATAATGAACAAATCTAGATCTGCAGCTGAAATAAAGACATAATTCTTTTCTCCCTCAGCATAGTCTGGCTAAAAATATACTTCATTTTATAGTTCCAAGTTTATATTACTTTTCTATTTCTGTCATTAATATTTTGCTCTGGAGTGTTGCAAAAGTGGAAAATTAATTAAGCTGTTAGCCTTTGAATTTTTTTGGGGCATACTTGCAAACAGGTATTTGTTTTGTGATGAGGTACATTCTTCCCTCCTAGTGGAACTTGGCCCTGATGTGGCATCCCAGGGACATGATTTCAGGGCTTCTTTTGCCTGAGAAAAGCTGATTAAATGGCTGTCATAGTCATAGCAGATCTTAGCACTGTTTAAAACTAGCCATAAGTAGCTGTGAGGATCAAAGCGTGCTTCATAAACATACGTGATTGGCAAATCAAAGATTTTCCTATGATTTTAGTGGGATTATGGATGTAAATGTATTTATTTAGGTAGGTTATGATTTGTTCCCTCTAAATAAAGGTTCCAATCCTATTTTCCTTTTATCATACACGAGTGCTTACACTCACGTAACAACAGAACAAGCTCGACAGAACAAGAGATCAACAGAACAAGAGGTCGAATTTACCTTATTAATGTCACAGTAAGCTGCTCTGCTAAATCATCACACCTTTCTTCTAGTACAGACTTTTCAGTTGACCAAACTGAAATGCTTGTGAATACTATTATGAGAACAGAAGTATATCAGAGAGGGGAGACCCAAGGTTGCTTAGCAAGTAAGATCAGGTCTTGAGGAAACAAATTTGCCAAGAATTAATGATGTTTGAAGCTAACTATGATAAATCTATACTGCAGCAAAATTGGTGAAAATCTATATGTATTTTTGGTATTGTAGATTAGACTTTAATTAAGAGGGAAGGGATACTGTTGAGGGTGATAATGTTATGGTAGGGGTCTGGCTTTAGGAAGTATTTGAGTGCAATCAAATTTCATCTTAGCATCTCTTCCATTCCATTGTTATGAGGCTCAAGTTTTGGCTGTTTTTCTGACAAAAGATGGCATCTGTTTAAAACATATGAAATGGAAGGGGTTTTAGTGTTTTATTTTTTACAACTCCTTCTGATTATGGGTGTTGAGGGCCAAAGCACACCTCTCAGAACAGGGGTAGTAACGTCTTAATACCCATGCTAAGTGTGGAGCCCCTTCTGATGGTGAATGAATTGCATTTTAAATGGTTGTATTGCCAAGAAGTACTCGAGTAGCCTAATTAGAGCATTAGTGTTGCTCCACAACCCTGTCTACAGTTAAGAAACTCAAAGGTCTTACAATTTTTTGTCACAGTTATATAAATAAAACATCGCACATTTAAAACTGTGACTTTCTCACAGGTATAATAATAACTTTTTATGCATTTAGAATAGAAACTTTAACAATATTTGATACAATAGGAACAAATAAATATAGTTTAATATATATATTCAATAGTTCTTGTAGAGAACACACAGTCCTGTCTTCTCTAGGGCTGTCATCAGGATGCTACTGCAAATTCTGCCTTTTTTTTTAACACCAGGTCAGATGTTGCAATATTGTACAATGATCGTTCTGTTCTTGAAAATCATCATGTAAGTGCTGCTTATAGACTCATGCAAGAAGAAGAGATGAACATCCTGACAAATTTAACCAAAGACGACTGGCGGTAAGATCTGCTGTGACATTCAAACTTAATTCCAGTATTTAAAAATGATAAAAAGAAACAGGCCTTCCCTCTGGAATCTGTTTTAGGAGTTCAAATTACAGGAAGAAACTTTGGCACTGGAAGGTGTAATGGATATTTAGAGCTTAGGGAAGACACTGTGGTATAAAATAGTACTGTCTGGGAGACACCGTATAATTCCAAGTGAGGTTGTGCATTTATGAGGAACAACATTGGACTGCGTGGACAGTGTCAGGGGAGATAGCTCTTCAGGAAAATCACTGTGCTCGCCTTCTTGAGCTAGGTTACCGCTGTCTAATACTGGTTTAAAACCTCGGTGCAGAGTCACACTCTGCTGCTGGCTTGAGCACTACTGCCTCTGGGATTTCTGCTGTGTAACAGCATGGCAGAGTCACATCTTGCTTAAGCATTGAAAATTGTATTAACTGGAGAGTCAAAAAATAATGAAGTAAAAGTCCAAAAGCACTGCAGAAATTTGCTGGTTTTTTCTTCTCCTTCTTAGTTGTAGTGGAATTCCTGAATAAAATTTGTCCAGCTGAAAGTGTCAGGATCATAGTTGATATGTCAGAAATACCAAGACCTATAAGACCAAAATGAACAGGTGCTAGAGATAAGACTTTCTCCATTATTGAAAATGATATGTTATCTTTGTATATCTTTGATTACTCCATGTAACACTTAAAATATAAGTCTTCTGTGTGTTTCTGTAAAAATAGCTATTATTCAGAGGTCCTAAAAATAACTTAAATAAGTGGATTGTAAATTCAGAGAGAGATGTTGACTTCCAGGAAAGTCTCCCACTGTGAATGATGCCACAGCTGTACTCTGCTTTATTTGTATTTTCACAGAACTATACAATTATGAAGGAATATGTGAACATGAGATCAAATTTTGGTGTTGCATATATTTACAGATGAAGGACTATTTTATATGCTAGATTTATATGATTTTACTTACATACATGATCAGAACACCGCTGTATAAAGTCTTTATTGCATCTAAGTGTGCCAGCCCTTCTGTTTTTCAATTAGGTTTTTTTTCTGTAGCTGCTCCAAAACACTTAATACTAAGGTACTTCTGTTTTTTTACTGACTACAAAGTGAGAGAGGAGGAATAGTTTTTCATTTTCAGAGGATACTCATTTGGATTTATTTATCATAAATTTAGTTCTGTAGAAAGATCTCTGGAAGTATATTGTAAACTTCAGCAGTAATTTTCACATACACCTAGATTTTCATTGCCAGTGTGAGTCAGGCTTGCTCTGTCTGGAACTGGTTTGGGCCTGATAGTTTTGGGGCTGATAGGTCTCTGTGACCCGTTTTTTGTTTGTCCTAGATATTGAGTATGGAGAAAGTGATTGTGCCAGTAAACAGCCATCAGAGGCTAGTATTCTGTCTTTAAAAACCATTGTCATAGAGGGGTGGTGATTTTCAAATCCTCAGACTTTCTGCCTTGAGTATGTTTCTCTGAAGTGGTGATGTTTCATATTGTGTCATACCAGAGAATGCTTCCAGGTAGAAGTAGGCAGATCTTCAGTTGGATTTCAGTTCAGGACTGGATCAAGTATGGCTTGAAGACATTTACATGCTTCTCCAGTCCTGGCTACTTCGTCGGACCACCATAAATGAGTACAGTTTGGGAATCCCTGCAGCAACATGCAGTTGCTCCAGCTGACAGAAATCTGGCTGCCAGCTAGTAGAGTACATCCCAGGCATTCCCTTTTGTTATGTCACTAGGGAAAAGAGTGATAGAATGGAAACTCCTCTGAAAGAAAATATGTGCCAATGGAAAGAGGAGCCTATGGTTTCCAGGTGTGTGATGTTTATACATATTGCTCTGGTGGACTGAAACAGAATAAAGGAAGGACTGTGATAGACTCTCCGTGTTTGTAAAGCACACTCTTCTCTGCATGGATTGCTCAGTCTGGTCTTTCCACAACAGTTTTTTTCAGTCCAGTTATGGACACTTTGCTCTAATTTTTCTTGCATTTCATTTTCTCCATGGTTTCTGGACCTGTGATAAACTACCACGTGCTTTCAGAAGCTGCTCGATCACACATGGTGTGTTTGTGCTTTCTTTTCAGTCTCCTGTCATTGTAACCCAATTAGAATTTCCTGCAGCGTCTTATTTTAGCATGTAAATTTTTTTAGTATAAAGTGGCATCACAGATACAGTCCACTATTATATGCAGCCAATTTGAAGTTGGTGGGATTTGTCAACCAGAGAAAGTAATTTATGGTCTCTTGTTGGAGCTATTCAGTAAAATTTAGAAGAGTCGTATGAATTGACTAATAAGCTCCAGCAACTATATTAGGACACTCAGTTCCGTATTTTGTCTCTTAGCTAGGCAGTTGCAATCTGTACTTTCAAACAAACCAGTAAATTCTGAAGTGCAAGTCTGAGAACTTGCATAACCTGTTGAAGTCTGAGACTTTAATTTAGAGGGTCAGTCATAGGAATGATGGTTTCCTGGTATTCATTTTTAATATCCCAAAATTCCTGTTACCCTGTAGTCAGATACAGTTGTTAACTGGTGCAATGACAGATATGTTAGCCACTTAAAAGAAGCTCTTCAATTTTTAAGTTATTACTAGAGCTAACTTCTTGGGTCTGTACTGAAAATCATGCTGTTAAACTAACAGTTTTGAAGTTTGCACTGAATCAAATTGGCAGTAAATGGAAATGATAATTTGTTCAACTTTTTAATGTACTTCCTGGCACTCATTAATTTCTTGACTACTGTCAGATCTGTTTTCTTGAGTTGCAGCAGTTTCATTTTCTAAAAATTTAACACCACTACCTATTTAAACTGTGGTTCTGCTAATTATTTCAGCAAGATGAAGCAAAATGACTTGGAATGACTTTATAGTATTAAATTTTCTTTTCTACATATTAATGTTAAGAAGATAAATGCACTAATAAACTGTCAGCTTCAATTAAGTTTAAAACATAGGGTTTGGGTCTGAGGAGGAAAACACTGCCAACATTCTGATGATGAGGTCCTTTGTGGATAATGCATGTTACATTCATAGTCATTTCTCACTCTTTTTATCAACTCTGAAAATATATTCCAGACTTTCATATTGTCTTGTTTCTCTCACATAGTGCCCTGTCCGTAAATAACTAAAAAGGGATCTCTTTTTGTTCTCCTTTCTCCTTTGATTTACCAGGTTTCTAGTGTTCTAGCACCCTATGTGTTACGTCAGCAGTTGTAAGTGTACAGATGGTATTAATGCCTCAAACCATTCCAGTCATAAGGCAGACAATGATATATTCCCTGATTGTATTAAAACAGACTCACAAAAATATGCTTTATATACAGTGCATAATGAACAGCTTTTCTTTCACAAATTCCCTCGGGATTCTTCTGTCTGAGGAAAGAAGGATTGCAATGAACCTTATGTCTTCAGTTCTCAACTTGCTTTTGCTCATCTTATCCTGTTCCTGCATTTTTTTTCCTCATTAATTTCCATCAGACTTAACGTCTTTGTCAGTGACAAATCCATGTAAAGCTGGTTTCTGTTTATTGCTTAACTACTTTTCCAGGAAATTCAAGGGCCACTCCTTGTCTTTTGTTTATTACAGCATTATTCATGTAAATTTTTCACATTATCTTCTATCTATTTTTTTTCACAATATCCTATCCATAGGACAGATGGATATGTTAAGGAGGGTTAAGAAAGGGTAACAGTATAGGACATGACAGTTTACTTATGAAAAATGGAGGTTGGATGCTCAAAACCAGTAATCTTCCAATTGTGGGCCCCCAAAACCCACTATACACTGTATGTATGTACGTACAGTTACCACTTCCCATCATATAACTAAAGACAACACCACCTACATATCTCTTTGCTGCAGTATCATAAGCAATGCTAACTATATTATCTCAATGCGTTTAGCTGGGGAGTGCTTAATGAAGTGGGCAGAGATTTCTGTCCAGGAGTTACCTATGAGACCAGCTGAGGTCTCCTTCAATATCAAAGCTGAGATGGTCTTTTTCTCCCTGGGAAACAATTTGGGAATGGTTTAAGTCCAAGAGTAATCTTCTGTGCCATGGTAGTAGACTGAGCATTCATAGCTCTAGTAAAGCTACAAATATAACATTTCCCTGTCAGTTCTCAATTTTCCATCACTCTGTTGCTGATGGATGGGAGTCCTGGCAGGAAAAAAACCTGCAGATTGGAGGTAGGGAGCTTCTCCTTACCTGTTAAGCAGCTTTTTTTAGTGGCCTGAACTCCAGAAGTGTGTGAGGAGAACAGTGTTACATTATTTGATCTTTATTCAGGTGGTGGAGCTAAGAATTAGAGTTTGTCTGCTGCTGCAAAGGTATGAATAAACTGAAAGCAGCATTTAGCTTCTCTGTGTGTCTTGTCAGCTTATTTCTGATTACTCTTTAAAGTTCAGACATGGAAAGTTCCTAGGAAAATCTCCCACAGAATGGGGTAGTGATAATTATTTAAGTCTTAACAAGCAGCAGGGTTTAACAGTGCAGAGGTCTCAGTGTTCATGCAGTGGTAGCTGTTTGTTCCCTCTATTTTCTTTTTTTTTTTCTTTATTAGGTGGGTTTGGCTGTGTCTGAAGGGTACGGTTTCAAAGCAGTGTGGAGGAGGAACAGTTGGGATGCAAATTAATTAATATCTTATTATGAGGTCAGATAAGATAAGGCATTTTCTAAACACAAGTTGCTATGGCTGCATATTATTGAGTAGAAGTGAGAGGATTGAGTTTTTATCCAGTTACATCAAAGCAAATCAGGACTAAATAAACAAAAATCAATGAGGAGTACCAGCTCAACAGCAGTCTTGATAGTTTTATAATAAACGATTCTATCAGCCCTGAAGAAAACTGCAATTTACCTCTTCAAAATATAGTCCTTTGAAAAAACATACTTGTTAAGTAAATTCAAGACATGAACACAATTTGAAATATCAGTGAGAATGACCAAAGTAGGATTCTAATGTTATAAGTGATGCTTGGACATTCTTAAGGTTGGGATTGTGCTCATGAAGTTATATGCTACACAATAAAAGACTTAATGTGGTGAATTGTCCCCAGTATACATATAAGCAACACTTGCACATAAATCCTCCTAGGCCATTTATAAAAACATGTAAATAAAGACCCAGCAGACTCCTACATGGTTTATATACAATCCTCCTACATTAAGGGAAGAATTTCCAAATCAGTAATTACTGTTGACAAAAATCAATGTATATTCATGTACAATCAGAATTAATACACTTTCTTACATGATTCATGTTTTACTATTTTCATATTCATTTAATAGAAAGCTGATTGACAAGCCAGCATCTCTGATCATAACACCAAGATATAGATAAATTATAAATCCCAAACTTGTTCCGATTTATGAAATAAGCATTAAGGTATTTTTGACATGAAGGGTAGTTTGTCATAATGTTCATATATTGGTGTAATGTTGATAGAGTTTCAGAAGTAATACCTTTTGCTCTTCTGAGTTTTCCACAGCCTTCTTCATACGTTTAGCATTATGCCTGCTCTGTACTAATATGAGGGCAGTAATAAAAGGCACAAAAATACCCTCTTGTGTGGTGGTAACACCAACGGTGTTTTTGAATACTGCTGGAAAAACAAGGAAAGACTTATAACGGATGACAGACCTGCATGTAATTTTAGTTTATACACTAGAAAAGACGAATTACAAAACAGTGTGACTCTGAAATAATTATTGCAGAGTGCATTTTCTGAAGTACATTGTTTTCACAGAATCACTTTAGGATACAACGTTTAAGTTGTTAATAATTTATTTAAATGCTTTTTAAAATGTAATAAACCCTGTGATGTTGTTTAAAAAGTTATAAATTAACAAGTACTGCTTAAACAAATGTACCATACATAGAATAAATGAATTGTAATCAGTTATTTTGCTTTTAATTATTCTTAGGGAATTGCGTAGCTTGGTCATTGAGATGGTCTTGTCTACAGATATGTCAGGTCATTTCCAACAAATTAAGACGATGCGACATACTTTACAGCAGACAGAGGGGTAAGTTATTTTCCGTTCTGTTCCTTATCTAGAGTCTTTCAATGAGCTCATGTACAAGAAAAGAATTTAAATAGTTGCTTTTGTTTTGAGATAATTGGAGCATGTCCTTGAATTGACAGGGTAGACAAAGCCAAAGCCATGTCTTTGATTCTACATGCAGCAGACATAAGCCATCCAGCAAAATCCTGGGAACTGCACTACCGGTGGACCATGGCCCTGATGGAAGAATTTTTTCGACAGGTGCCATTTTTAAAATCCTTTAATAAATCTAGTTCAAGAAGCAATGGTTACGCAATTAAATCTTTTCATAAGTCTGCCAGCAAGGATGCTGTTGGTTGTGATTGACAAGCATAGTCAGTAGTATATATTCTATACTCTTCACACATACTACTGACATTAATTCAATTTGTATGTGCATGCATAAGATTAAATTGTTATGGTTCTATATCTATTTCAGCTGATACCAGGATTCTGAGTTGTACGGGTTTTTTTTCTTTCAGTTATAATATAACTTGTCAAGCTGTTTTCATTCTGTAGACAGAGATTTATATATGCTTTCAGTTAAAAAGAAGCACTAGCATGAGGGACTTGAAAATAGGAAGAATTAATTTCCAGCAAAGAAGGCAAAAAGTTGTCTCCATTTCATATTTCAGAAAGCCATCCTATTTCTTTTCCTTGCCAGTACTTGCCATGCATATGCCACATAGATCTGAAGATTTTGCTTTCATAACAGCCTAATTCAAAGCCAGAGGGTGGATAGTATCATCCAGATAATGCTGTGTCCATATACCCTAAAACAAAAATGAAGACACACCTTTGTGAAAGTGTTCATTTCTGTGATATACTGAATTCAAAGAGGAAGCCCACTAGATGCTGGTGTCACTGTTGCCGTTTTTTTACTCACTTCAGCAGGTGAAAAAACCCACATCTCTCCAAAGCAATGCTCTCCAGCTAATGAGTATTTGTGCCCATGCACATTTTGAACATAACAGTTACTGAATATAATTGATAATCCAAATTCAGTTTAAGTATTACCCAGTTTCTACAGTTAAAAATGGTTTAAAAATGGTTAATACAGATAATGGAACAGTGTATGTCTTGCTCAAGTTGACTGTATTTTGCTATATGCTCTCATTTTCAAATCAGATGCGGGAAAGGTGTCAGAAAATAAAAAAGTCAGTATGTCAGTATGGGGTTATCAGGCCTATCTGCATGAGAAGGTTCTTGCTTGGTTCCTAGAGGTCCTTTATAAGAATTCTCAGCAGGGAGCATCAGAACATCCTTGACTCTGGGCTTTGCGCAGAGGAGACAGATTAGAGACCTGGTGCCTTAGTGTAAATAATGAATGGACTGAGTTTTGTGGAAATACTGAGTAGAGTCATGAGTTCGTGTTTGCTTCTGTAAATGGAAATTATGAGGATTTTGTACTTGAGAGGAAAAAGGAGGAGCAGATTACCACAGATATATATTAGAAAAGGTCAGGAATGACCAACTGTAAAAACATTTTAGACACAGAGAGACAGACTAGACAGAGCCCATGGGACAGTGAGGCAATGTGTCCAGTCTAGTGGATATAGCACTAGCAATAAACAGTATCACACTGGTCATTGAGTGCATATGATCAGCTGATGTTTTAGTTATTACTTTATCCTTTTATTAGAAGAAGTAACTGGATCCCAAATAAGCTGCTCAAACACTTGAGAAGACATTCAACAGTAGAATCAAATCACCATGTATGTATGTCTTCAGCTTAGCAATACAAATGTGAAAGTATTTCAGGCTGTAGAGGAGTGTGCAAGGAACTGAATCCCTCTTTATAGATACTACTAAGAACAGTGTGTGTGGAGTAGTTCCAACACATGTAAAGTGCGATCCAGTAACTGTACATATGTAAATGCACTGAGCAGTGCAGACACAGTGGGTGTCCTGCTTCCTATATGTGCTGGCTTGATTGTGCATCCTCTGGTCTGCTGATATGAGTGTGTGGTAGAAATCTCTGCAATTTCCAAATCTGTGTCAACCAAGATGAAGTAGTCCAGATGTATACAAAATCATAGAATCATAGAATAGTTAGGGTTTAAAAGGACCTTAAGATCATCTAGTTCCAACCCCCCTGCCATGGACAGGGACACTTCACACTAATTCCTCCTTTTCTTTAAAGATAGTAATTCAACAATTTCTACTGCTATACAGGGAAAAGCATCAGAGTCTGAAACTGATGATGCAAAACCATTGCTTTAACAGCCAGCTTTCTAAGTAGTGTGCACCAGTGGAAAATGAACATTCACCTAGACAAAAATCTTAGTTAACTACAGCTAACAGTTGTGCCAGTTGAATATGTGCCAGTTGAAAAAAACCAAACAATGCATTAAGCTTAAAAGCAACAACTACAAAAGGTGTGTTATAATGCCAAGAAAAATGTGAGCTACTTGTTTAAAATAGAAATACACCCACCCGTCTCAAAACCTTAAAATAAAGAAATGCACAGTTCAAGACACTCAAAGAAGTATCACAGCTTCTTTAGCATTCTGCTTTTAGTGTGAATAGATCCAAAAGCACAAAAAGAGAATTTGTCCAGAGAGTTCAGCACCTGGGAAAATATCTTTTTTTACTTACTGATCTTTATCTTTATTAATGATCAATTTAAATATCAGTGCTCTGTCCATTATTACAATTACAATAGATTTAGACTTATATGACATTTAAGTATTAATTATGTATTATATTAATAGCAAAGTAATTCATAATTGGGTTAAAGAGCTGCTTGAAAACAGAAAAAAAAAATCAAACTGATTCTTAGAATCATAGAATCATAGAATAGTTAGGGTTGGAAAGGACCTTAAGATCATCTAGTTCCAACCCCCCTGCCATGAGCAGGGACACCACACACTAAACTATGTCGCCCAAGGCTCTGTCCAACCTGGCCTTGAACACCGCCAGGGTTGGAGCATTCGCAACTTCCTTGGGCAACCTATTCCAGCGCCTCACCACCCTCACTGTGAAGAACTTCTTCCTTATATCTAATCTAAAGTTCCCCTGTTTAAGTTTAAAGCCATTATTCTTGTGCCAAATCTTCTCTTTTTAAATACCTGGTTAAGGGAAGATTAGAAAATTAATATTGCTTTAGAAATCCTTTATTCAACAATGGCTGAAATCATTAGATCTACCCCAGTTTATATTATATCACAATCTGGCTCCTACATTTACATGGAGATAGCTCTAGCACTGCTCCTAGTAGTAGGTATTCATGTGTTCATCTACACCCTGAAATCAAATTATCAACACTTAGGTGTAAAATTTAAAGGTCATAGTGATAAAATTCTCCATTTCCACATGAAACACAGTCTGTGAGCTACGTCTGTTCCTGTGGCTGAAGTGCGTTTATTGGTATTACAGTTTTAAACTTTCCCCAAATCTAGTTCAATGACACATGATAAAAAGGCTAAAGAATGTTGATACGGCCCCCTTCATGAATCAGCTTCTCATGAGATCTTTGGGAAAATGATATAATCATGTACTGCTCCCCACTGAATAGGCATGAAACAGCAGTGTCCATGTCTGATGTAGTATGTTGATTCATTTTACTTGAAAGGCGAAGTTTTCCTATATCTGTAATGTCAGTGCTTCTGGGGACTAGGTTTCTCCAGCAACACAAATTATAGTCTCCTTTGAAAGATGTCTCTTCAGGTTTTTTTATAGAATCATAGAATAGTTTGGGTTGGAAGGGAACTGCAAAGGTCATCTAGTCCAGCCCTCCTGCAATGAGAAGTATTTGAGCCACTAAGACTTTCTTCTTGAGCTTTACCAAGTTGGTTGCTGACTTGCATGTCTAACATGCTGAAAATGGAGATTAACACCCCCTGGTCTGTTAAGACTGTTATGACAAAACCTTCTTTTAATGTGTTAGGTGTGAAATATTTTCAGAAGTAGGTTGTACAAATCATCGTTGTAATGAAATTGAGCTTGTGCTTTTCTGTGGCTTCAGCAAAAGAAACACATGCCTACTAGTGAGAATGAGTTCAAGTCATGTCATGCCCTTGACCTGTGTGAATCTATTGAAGAAATTTTACATGTTGGATAAACCAATGTGATAAAAAGAAATGTTTAGCATTTGGCCTATGATTACAAACATGTCTAAGTATCTCCAATCCCATTACATCTGGGGTCAACAGTACTAACCTGTGAATACCGATGGACTTCATATACGTTAAATCTCATCAGTACATGCCTTGTTCTGGAGGAGAACTTGATTGCAATAAGTTCCTTAAGATAAAAATTGCCAAATGTAAGTTAGAATTTGACCTTAACTTTTCCTGAAAATTTAAAGATAAAACATCAGGGGTTTGGGTTTGGTTTGTTTTTTTTTTTTTGGGGGGGGGGAGCAGTGTTTGGGTTGTTTGTTTTTTTGCCTGTGGCTTGTTTTTATTTAGGAATATAAGTGAACAAAGTAATCTGTTGAATAAATGCTGGAATGTTCCGATTCCTTTGTCTCTCTGTCCCTCTGTCAAATATATAGTTGTAATATTAAACATTGTTGTTTGCAGGGAGACAAGGAGGCTGCTTTAGGTCTTCAATTTTCCCCACTCTGTGACCGCAAGTCTACTTTGGTTGCTCAGTCCCAAATAGGTAATGACAAGTGTTTTTCTTTTTCTTGTATGTGTAGGAGCATGTAAAATCATGTGGACATTTCCTATACCCATTTTGAATTGCAGATGTTCCAAATGCCATTATATAGAAGGTATTTCTTTGCACCTATTTACCAAATTCATATGCTTTTACAGCAGAAATGTGCTGGTTTCAAAAGTACATGAAGTAATTTCAGCATATGTGATGCCAAGGAAGGGTCAGAGAGGGATTAACCAAAGTACTGGACATGAGAACAATGTTTACTGTACACACTTTAGGGTTTGGTAGATCGTGTCCTCAGACAGATTAACTCTTGCTCAAGAACTCACAGGTCTGTCTCTACTATAATCTGAAAGCTGGGTACCATTTTGTAGATGAATCTCAGCGCTAATTAATACATCAGATATCTGGACTGCAGTTAAGACTGTCAGTGTGGCAGAGTCAGCTACAGAGGTTCAAGCCTTCCTGGGTTGACAAGAACCATTGCATTGTGTTTCTGTCAGTCCTAATTGCATTTTGGTGAAAAGTGGCCCAACTTCAGCTTCCCATTTTCAGAAATGTGTTTCTTGGTTCTCTCTATCACCATTTTCATCAGCAATAATAAGGAAGTAAAACTGGTAAAGATCACCAGGGCTAGTTACAAGGACGTACACTAGAAGCATACTGAGTAAAGCAGTAGATCCTACCAACAGCTGTACTTTTTACATGAGTGAACAGAGTACTTAAGCATTCTATAGGTGACAGTGTCTTACACTTGAATTGAAGCATGTCATCCTGTCTGATCTTGTCACTCAAAATGTCCTTTATTCCATTTCACTGGGACTTGAAAGGCAATGTGCTTGAGCATCCTATCATACCTGTGGCAGGAGGGAAGCTGGATCCTAGGCTGAAGCACTGTTGCTCACCTTTGTGCTGTGTTGTATGGTTAGAGTATGAAGACATCTGGAAACCCATTGCTAGCTCGTGTTTTAGCATTTTTATTTTTTTTCTGTTAAGTGCTCAGCAGAGAATAATGCTTCATTCTCTCACTGTGTCATTCCATACCTTGATGAGCACTTTAAAATGTAAAAGACATTGTTCGGAGCTGACATCTCAGAACTGTGGGATGAATGCTGTCTTCTAAGGATATTACTTGTTCTCTTCACTGATTTGACAGAACACTCCTACACACTGTGAAATAACACTTTACCTCCACAGAATAACAAACAGCAATTTGAAATATTAACTCCTTGGCAAGAAGCTCCGAATAGCAAAAAGAGACAGTATGACTTACAGCCCCCTGACTCAATGGTAGATTCCCTTCTATTCATTCTAAATGGTAGGTGTGTTCTGCAGTGCATAAAACTTACAAGGAAAAGGAATCAAAAGTTATAATTATTAATACCTACTTATATTTATACAGCTTCAAGTATTTTTGTTTTTACTTGTGCTTTTTTCTTCAAGATTATACTACTGGTATCTAGTATATTGAATCAGGACTACAGTCAGAAAATCAGCTTGATATCAAGTATTTTTTAGAATTGAGAGCTGTGGAAATGTAAAATCTGTTTTTCTTTCTTTTTCTTCTTTAGGTTTCATTGATTTCATTGTAGAACCAACATTTTCTCTTCTTACTGACTCGATGGAGAAAATTGTTATGCCTCTTATAGAGGAAGCATCAAAATCTGAAAGTCCTGCACTTGGGGCACCCAGGTATGAATGCACTGCTTAGTTATTGAATTAATAGAAATTAACATAATAATGTCATTCTCAGAATTACTGCAATTATTTAAACAGTTGGAAAAGTAACTTAAACAGCTGTACAGTATTGCCACCATGTGGCTTTATATTGTATTTGCAGTACGCTATTACTCCATTGACTGCGGACAGTCATGCATATAAAGAAACAAAAGCACAATAACAAGCAGAATACACATGTATAACATATAAAGTTGATTTTCTACAGCATATCTAATAACAGTTTTTTCCTTTGACTCTAAACCTTGCAGTAGATTATTGGAGTTTCTGGTTCTCTTATCTTGATCCATTTTCAGTATAATTTTAACTGACAGTTCCAAAAGTCATTCTTTCTCAGAGACAATTGAAAGTGGAGGTGGTGAAGGTGGTTTCAGGGGAGGGTTTCTGTTTCTTACTCTGCTGTAGGTCACTTTTCTTCTTCGCCTTTCCATATTAGTATTATTTGATATATACACTTGAGACAAAACGGATTCCACTTATATTCCACTTGAGACATCTAAATACAGTGAGGTGTGGTAGGGAGTGTGGTTGCCCATCAAGCTCTTGATTTCTGTATCATTATAGAAGTTGTCTATAAAACAAATTAGCTGTGACAGACATTGTTATCTGAGTGACTCCATGTTGAAAGCATTGTTCAGTAAGCAGGTGCTCTTACAGATACTACCTCTGTTACCACATTTATTTCATTTTAAAACTGTAATTTGAGCTTTCATTGAAGCTACTAATATGATAACTCTTAAGGGAAATTTTTCATTTGTGGTGCATTAGTTAGAGCTTAACAGTAAAATGATGAACCTAACTTTTCTGATCATGAGTTTACGTGTATTTTGGTTACTAGAAGTAAGTAGAAGTTACAGAAGTAGACATTTATGACAGGGTTCTTAGTGGTTTGGGGAAAAGTGCTAAACTAAGGCATTATTGCTAACAGATTTGTTTACCTACTGTCTTCTTCACAAATGAGTGATTAGCAGCTGCAAATGACTAATAGCTCTAGGCTTCATTTTCAGTTGATGTTTATGACTGAGTGGTAGATGAACAAAGGCTTATGATCCTTCCTCAGGTGAGGTGCAGGATAAAGGAATTATTTTCAGATGTCTTTCCTGTGAGCCCCAAAGATACCATTCACTGTTCAAAATCATAGCGAAGAAGCTAAATAGCTATATAAATATTCTTTCAAGAAACAACGTACAAGTAATGTATTTTCAGCTGTCACTTTTTTTTTCAAGAATTCCCTGGAAAAAGGTTGTTAAGAATCGGTCCCAGGTTACAACTTCATGAGCTGAAGAAATGTCTTGTATCTCAGGCACTCTTTGGTGAAAACTATTATTTCAAGTTACTGATTGCATGTAGGCCCTAAGGAATTTTTTTCAAATTAGCTGTTTGTGTACTATTAAAATTACCTGACAGTGTTAATAATTTAGGGGTTTTTCCCTTCTGCAGCCAAAATAGTTTGGGAGCAGTAAGCAATGCTGAAGCACAAAGACGACCCGGTTTTAAAAGTACAAGTGATGGAGGGACTCACACAGAAAATTCTCTAGCAACTGTAGACCTAACAAGCTTTAAGGCCAACTTGATGAAGATCATACAAGCAAACAAAGAAAGATGGAAAGAATTAGCAGTAGAAGGTATGATATACTAAGGTGGAAAGTTTTTATGGGTTACTCCCTAACCTTCCATTACTTTCATTTTTTAATTTCCTTCAACCTACAAAAATACATAGTTGTCTTGTATTCATATATTTTATGTCTTAATGTTTGTTTAGATGGTCCTGTTTTGTTCTCCCAGGAGGTGTACAGAGATGCAGGTGGTCAGGTGATGAGAGGAAATCTTATACCCAGTACGATAAGGCTTTGGGCTGCTCAGCTTACCTTTAGTGGTCTGGTTTAGAAATGTGCATTCTTGCACATGTAATCATAACTCATACTGACATCTGCTTTAAATGCCAAAAGCAACAATTCAAAGTAATGTGTGCTGCCACATTTCTTAAGAAACGTAAAAGTTGTGCTTTGCTATTAGAAATGCTATCTGTTCCCAACTGTATGGAACAAAATTCAGTATTGCAGGCTTCTTGGGACTATGCTGCAGGCAGTTATTTAAATGACCCAATGGATCTAGAGATTTAGGTATTCACAGCATGTATTAGACCCAAGCAAGGCAAAAAGTGATTCTTCATTTGGTGGTTGATAGTTAATAAAGCAAACCTGCATCAAGCATCTTAGTTCATAAGCCATACCTGAAAATTTTCTCGAGTTAGTTTTCTGAGTGAAATGATTCATGTTAATTGTTGAAAGCAGTTTATAACCTTGATCCACATTAAGTGAATGCCATTTGGGAATATTTTGTCCACAGTCTGTGTTGCTTCCAAGTAAGCACCTGGAATATTTCAGTATACTGTTTCACTGCTGGGACTGGTCTTGCTGTACATGATCTGATAATGACTTCAGGAAATGGTATCCTGGAACCCAGTGCTAGCCCTATCTTTCATCTGTCATCCAAAGCAGCATTGTTTTCCTCAAAGAGGTGTCAGACAAGACAGAAAACCACTGCTGAGCTGCACTAAATTCTAATTTAGTGCTAAATTGCAAATGGGTATTCTCTTTAGGAGAACATTAAGTAAAAACAAGCTTCCACACATCTATTGTGGCAATGATTTGACTATTAGGTAGAAGAGAAAGCTGAGGAGATTTAACTAATATTGTCTCTTCATGAGCAGCTTTACGTTGTTTGCCTCTTTTGGTATGTTCAGCTGATACTGACTGGTCAAAAAGACAAAGCTACTAATTTGAGATCATCAGTATTAATAGCAGACATTGGGTGCCGAAGACCACTTAGCTACAGCCTGCAGGAATCAAGCAGCCCTAGGCTACCTACATGTAAGGTCATTCAATATGGAAAATTGGAGAACTTGTTATCTGGGAGTCTGCCATTTGCAGTTACATGTAACTAAAGTGTTTGATTTTGGTACATCAGCTTTTTGGTATATTGTTTTGGAGGTGTACAGTGCTATCAAAGAGATAATTTCTTGGTTACAGTGTTCCATAAATTACTGATACATACAGGCCAGTTTTACTGGGCTGTTGACAGCCTTCGAAAACAAAGCTTCTCACAGCAAGAGATTTAAGAATTCTTCTGATTAAATGATTGTTTCTCTATGCAGTCAATATTAATGTGAGGACCAGCAAGATCCAGGAAGCTCTGGGCAAGCTTTCTACTTTGAAAAGCAGAGCTGATAATGTTCAAGACTCTACGGACTTTGTTGAGATTGTTGTCCATATTCTAGGATGCTCTTCTTTTCTTCCATCAACTTGGCTAATAAAGTGTGTCTAAGTATTTCCTGAACAGAGTTATGGAATTGTGGTAGAATGTACATTAGGAAAATTGCTGGGTAAGTGAAAATAGCTGGTTGAGGCCAGAGTGTGATGGCCAATATCAGCTCTGTGTGATTATGGTTAAATCTGTTTTACAAAACCTCTGTGAGAGCAAGAAAGAGATATATAGAAGAAAGAGATTTATAGAAAATTGTGCCCACAAAAAGACTACTTGCAGCAACATCTGCAGTTGATGAGCATGACATGAAGACCTTCAAGGTGTCTGATTAGCATCTAGAGGAACCTTGCGAATAGTGCAAATACTTTTGAGTACAGGTTTTTATTTTGGTAATACAGATATAGTAAGGAGTTGGGGTTTGGTTTAGTTTCATTTTTTTTGGCGGGGGGTGGTGGATATTATATACATTTTGTGAAAGTTAAGATATTTTCCATTCATCTGGAATGGAATGTGTGGGTACTTAGTCCATATGTGGGCACTAAGGGCTGCTGGAAAAGAGGTTTTCACTAAGTGAATGTAGCCCTAGATACAGCACTGAGGTAACACAAGTTCCTTTTCACGTAATGGAAGAAGGAGTCTTCCCAAGCTGGTCCATATGAACAGTATATCTGCTCTCAAGTTGCACCCTGCAAATGTTGAAAATCCTTAATCAGAATGTGCAAAATTAACCTTTAGTAAATAATGAAAAATATTAAAATACATTCCCTTTCCACTCGGAATTCCCTTCAGTTTGCACTTAAGTTTTACTAAGCTTGTAAGGGAATATCCTGAGACCTTGAACTTCAGATTGTTTTTTCCTTACTGTCTGGATTTCATGCTACCTTGTCTAACTCTATTGCCTGATGAAAAGTCTTCAAGTTGCGCTGGACATATGTATGTACTTGTGTTTTATTTGTATGTTAGTAGGAGCACATACTGAGGGAAGAAATATCAGGGGTAAATCACTGCCAGGTGAAAAGACTGTTGTTATTGCTGTCATTGTTCCTAGCTAGATAATTTACAACAAGCTGCAAAGACCTGAATTCCCTGACAAAGTCATGTATGTGAGGACAGCGTGCCATGGTAGTAAGTAAGCTGACTGTTAGTGTAGATCTCCAAACATACTTCCTGATCTGACTATGACAAACAGTACTTGTGCTGTTAACAATCTGCATTCTTGGCAGTGGGCTCTGCAAACATTGTTCCCAGATTAGTTAACATGCTCAGGAACAGTTGTCTCTATCCAAACGTAGTAATAGAGATACACAAATAATATAAAAAGGAAACTAGCAACAACCCGTATAATTTGCTGGTCATGATTCAAACTTGTTCCAGCTTCTCACCTCTTCAGGATAAGGCTACTCGCTTAGCACTGGTTGGGAGGCAGGGCTGAAGAAGACGATCTGATTCCTATGCCCGGACAGTCCAGAGCAAGAAAAACAAGACACACTGACAGTGTTGTTGACAGGGCAGCTTTCCTGGAGGTGCTGGTGGTATCCCTCCCTGGAAAGATAGTTGTTGTTGAGACTTGGTTCAGAGCAAGCAGCTTGTGCAAGGAACAGTATGCTTTATTTTGGAAAGGCCTGTGTTAGTAAGGAAAGCATTTATCCACCTAGACAGCTTCCTTAACAGAAGGCTCACTAAATAAGATGGTTCCATTTTGCTAAAAAGGCCATGTCTTGTATAATTGATGCAGAGGAGCTCAGTGCTCTATAGCCTAAGGGTTCTCAACCTTTCACCACTGGAGAATTAGAAGAATGTTTCTCAGGCTTTTCAGGGAATGCTGTTAACAGGGAATTACCATAATGATCAAACATCTGGGATTCTAATTTGAAAGCCTTGATGTTTAATTAATATTCCAAACCCCTAATCTGTCTTTGTTCAACTCAACACAGTGATAAAGAGACAATTCCATCCTGTGCTGCTGCTATTTGCAATTGTGGTAGTTGTAGCAAATAGACAGTAAAGATGCTCAGATGAGTCTGAGAGGTTCTTCCATTAGAGAAAACATTTGCTAAATGGATTTTAAGGTCTGGAAATTATTGACCTACTGAGAAGGCTTGTAAGAAACACATAACTTGTTGGGACAGATTTAAATATCATATAAGATCCTTCATGATGCAATTCTTAGAACACACAGAAATTGAAACACAATGATTAATATTTTAAAAATACAATGTTTATTTCTTATGCCTACAATGTGTATTCCTTCATGCTTATTTTGTATAAAAATGTTCTAAAGTTTTACTAATCAAGTCAATCATTGATTGTCAAGCTCAGGTACTCTTAACAGAGCAAAAGGGTATGCACTAGTAATCATGCTTACCCTCTATTCAGCAGATGTCATTGTAAATAAAAAAGTACAGGGATAAATAAGTATCATTATCTTTGCTTTATAGTTGAGCAAAAAAAGGCACAGACAGCTTACATCACTCACCTCATGTTGTGTAATAATATGAGGGAATACAGCACGCAGTCAAATGGGCCTATGACTGAAGCATGCTAACATTGTTCATCTTCAGGATAATACAAGAGCAGTGTTACTTGTTGTTCATCTTCAGGATAATACAAGAGCAGTGTTACTTGTTGTTGTTCATCTTCAGGATAATACAAGAGCAGTGTTGCTTGTTGTACTCATTTTATGGTTGTGTAACTCTTATGAAGAATTAACTGTTAGACGATGTGACCAAAGGTTGCATTATTTGTGTGGAAAATGATCACTGGCAAACCTTGTCCTCAAGACCTTTGGCAGTGCACTGGGCTGCATGGCTCAAAGGTGGTATGTCTGACTGCGTCAGAATGGGGTGAAAAAAAGGTGAGGGTGAACGAGGCTCTCGCACTGTTCTGTGTTTAATTTTGATAATGATAATAACATGAAAAAAATGCCAACTATTGCATCTTTGGAGTAGAGATCAGTTTTATTTTTATTTCCCCTGTGGGCAGCAACTTTGAATAACAAATGCCTCTTCTGAAAGACCTCTGCATGGTACCTGCAGGCCCCCTTCAGGCACTTTCAGTCCTGCATACTTCCAGTCACAATAACCACAGGGTTCGGTTCCATTTTGTCTGGAAGATTTTCTCTGCAGACTCACTAATAAGAAGAGAGTAACATCTGCTGAAATGCAAAAATCTGAGAGCGATGAGCTGATAGCATGTTAATGTGATTTAG